ACACCTGGAAGTTTCCTCTCAGGCACCTGGGATTTGGCTCAGCTTGGAGCCAAAATGAAAGATTTCTCCATAAATGGAATATTTGTTTAATTGAAGCTACTTGTGTAGCATTTGAATTTCCCCAAAGAAAAACTCACTTAGGGAAGAAATAAAAAAATACCTGTTTCAATATTCCATTTATTTGTGGACTGGGCCTCACCTCCAGCTGGAAAAATAGCCCCAAATCCCAAATTAGCTGCAGTAAAATGCTCCAAATTCTGCATTGATGAAGGCAGTGCATTCCCATGGCAATACCTCAGAGATTCCTGGTCATTCCATTTGCAGTTTAGGAGAATTAAGAGCTGGGAAAATATGGGAAAAGTGAATTCTGAGAGTAGCAAGTGCCTGCAATTACTTTAAATCTCCTTTTTCTTCAGAAAATCACATTATTTCCTCCTTGTTCTGCTGCAGAACTGCACAAAACTCACAGGGGCTTCACTCCTGCTAATTAATTTTCAAGGGGAAAGCTCAAGGCTGCAGGAGGGGAGAGGGATTTGATTCGTGGCAAATCCATCCTGCATTTTCTAGCAGGTCCATCATGGATCTCCTATTTCCAAAAAAAAAAAAAAAAAGGAAATTTCTCATTTTAATTAAGTTTTAAGGAATCCTACACATTCCATGAATCAGGAAGATCTTGGTACTGTTCAGATTAAGGGAATCCATTCCAGGATCCGAGTTCTGATGTTGGTCAGAGTTTAATTCCCTATTTTCCAACAAGGACTCGACCAAATCTCTGTGTGTGGAAAACTTTTAACCAGGAAAGAGCTGTGCCAAGGGATCCTGGAACGAAATCCTGGAATGTTTTGGGATGGAAGGAACCTTAAAGCCCATCCAGTTCCACCCCTGGAATCCACACCTTCCCTATCCCAGGTTGTTCCAATCTCACCTTGGACAATTCCAGAGATCCAGGAGCAGCCACAGCTCTTCTGGGAAATCCATTCCAGCTCCTCCCAGCCAGGAATTCCTTCCCAATATCCCATTTCTGCTTGTCCTCTGGTAGTGGGAACCATTCCCTGGGCCCTGTCCTTCCACCCCTTGTCCCCAAGTCCCTCTCCATGGAATCATTCCCATTCCCAGCTCCACGAATTTCCATCTCCCAACTACTCTTCTCATTCCAGCTGAAATGAATCCCAAAGTCCTCTCAAACTTCCCACCATTTTGCCAATCCAAAACACCACGTCATTCCCACTTTTCTCAAAGGATCCTGATAACATTTTCAATTAAAAAAAAAAATCAGCATGAGGACCTGGAGCAGAGGAAATTCCCAACCATTCCCAGTCTAACAGCTCAGCTCAGGGACCACCAGATCATCCTCAAGCCTCCCAGTGTGACTCCAGTGAGGAATTTCCAAGCTGAGAAAACACCCAAATTCCATTGGAATTCCTTTGGGTCAGAACTTTGGATCACTTCTTCTCTGGGAAATCACTTCCAGGGCCTCCCCACCCTCCCAGCCAGGAATTTCTTCCCAGTATCCCACCTAAACTTGGAACTGGTGGAAAACAACAGCCAAGAAAGGAGACACAGAAAGGAGAACCTTTCCATTTCTCGTGGAAAGAGGGAATCTTGCGGGATCACACAACTCCTGCATCAGAATGAGGGGGTTGTGCTTGGATTTGTTGTTTTACCTTTTCCTTGGAGAACCTTTCCTTGCTCCTGGTTGTGCCTTGCTGGGAATGGCACAGGGAAGGATCCACGCAGCGTTTTCCATGTGCAATCCCCAGCCAAATATTCCTCAAATGTCACAAGCAAAATCAATACTAAGCTGATATTGTTTTAATGATAGAATCCCTGGAGGTAGCTTTCAGAAGGAGCTGGGATGAATATTCCTGCAGGAAATAGGGAGGTGACATTTCATAATTATGGGATGTCTCCTGAACCATAAGATTTTTCACTTACTGGAAGAGGAATATTTGCTATTTCCCTTGATTGGTTTGATCTCCTCTCAAAGCAGTGTTTTCCTTGGAGATAACAACACCCAGGGGGGCATTTTCCCTTTCCTGCTCCTTCCCAAATTTAATGGATTCAGGAGAGTGGCACAGCCACTAAAATGAAGGACACTTCAGCTGTGATTTGGAGTTAGATGAATATAACATGAATAAGAATGGAATATTAATGGAATATGGATTTAAAAGGATGTTGGAATATTGCTGCTGACTGCTCTAATTTGGTCCCAAGTTTGATGAGCCGTGCTGAACCCTCGCTTACCTTTCTGCTCCGTGGCTCTGCTTCAGCATTCCTGCATTTTGGAATCCGTGGTATGGGAGATGATGGAAGTCCCAGTGGTGACTCAGAGCCCTGGAAATGGCAGAGCAAAGAGCACATTCCATGTCCTTGGGATGCTGAACTCCTGAGGAGTGTGGAGGGGGATCAGCATTCCTAGGAATTCCAGGGAAAAATCAGCACACTGAGTGTTGGTGCTGCTGTTCTACTTGGAAAAACAATCATAGTCAGGAATTCACGGATTGTTTCCAGGTTAGAGTGTGACACATGGCCCTGGTTCCTAACCAAGGACATTCCAGGAGCTTCATGGGAAGATCCCCCTGCATCTATGGGACGAGGGAATCATGGAATCCCAGAGGGGTTTGGATTGGAATGGATCTTAAACCCAGTTCCACCTCTGCCAAGGGCTGGGACACCTTCCACTATCCCAGGCTGCTCCAAGCACCTTTATTCCATCATTGTGTTGGACTTGGAGTAATTGGGACCACTTTTGGCTGGAGCAGGGCTGTGTTGGTCTTTGCTAAACCTTCTGGAAAAGCGAGGAGGGAAAGTTCCTGGGGCTTTGGAACATGGGATGTGGTGGCTGGAAGAGCAGAGCTTGCTGGAGGCTTTGCTGGAATGATGGCTTCAAACTGAGTGTGGGGCTGGAAGGGACATTGGGAAGGAATTCCTGGCTGGGAGGGTGGGGAGACTCTGGAATGGAATTCCCAGAGAAGTTGTGGCTGTCCCTGAACCCCTGGGAGTGTCCAAGGCAGGGTTGGATGGGGTTTGGAGCAGCCTATGACAGTGGAATGTGCTGGGAATGTGCTGGTTGGAATCAGATGGGATTTAAGGTCCTTCCAACCCAAACCATTCCATGTTTCTATGGAGGAAACATCCATTCCCTGCTCCTCCTCTGCCTCTTCTGCCTCCTTGGCTCAAGCCTCATTTTCTCCAGGCTGTGGAGAGCCAGACTCAGAAACTGGAATTCTTGGCAGGTTTGGATCAATCCCAGGCCTTCAGATCAGGATCCCATGATGGGCTATGTCCACAGGGAGCTGTGTGTGGGCTGGACCAGGAATGCCACGGTGAGAGGGGGTCTGAAGGGATGCCAGAGCCCTGCATCCCAGGAATTCCATGTGGATCCTAGCAGAGGAATTGCAGAATGATCAGAGAAGCAGGGCTGGTGTGATGTGCAGCGCTTTCCCTGCAATGCAGCCCTGGGAAGGGGATCCAGTTGCTGCAAAGGGCCTGGGGAGAAGCTTTGAGGCTCTTCCATGGGAAATGGGGCTGGGAGCTCAATGGCATCACATGGATAAACAGAAAGGATGGAATTCCAGGTGTTTAAATCCCACAGAATTCAATTTTATCCTTTGTGCCCTTTAGTTTCTGTGCTTTTATTAGGGTCAGTAAATCAGTTTCTTCTCCTATTGATCCACTCCCTGGAAATTGTCATAGCTGTGAATTTCACGGTTCAGAAGCGAAATCGTGGAATGTACTTTGGAGTCTTGTGGAAATGGAGCTGGGATTTATGCAGGTGTAATAACAGGAATGTCGTGCATTCCTTACACTTACGACGTGTAAATCTGAGTAATTCCTGTACTACAGGTTGTACCAACAAGGAAATTAAAGCAAGGTTCTGCCTGAACTTAACTCCTGCTCCAAATTCTGATCCCGCTGACGGGATTTGGAAAGGAAGCAGCAGCATCAGTGCCACTGTTTCCCCTGCTTAATTTTCCTGCTTTAATTAAGTCTTTTCATTTGCATAACGAGTGTGATAATGCATTTAGGAAGATATAGAATAAAAACAATAATGCCAAGTTCATTTTGGAAATGGAAACAAAAAAATTGGAATGCAAGTGGGGGGTGCTGAAGGTTTCATCCAGGGGATTGACAAGGATTAATAAAAACCATGGAAATCTCTTGTGGTGATGAGTATGTGCTGAGTAAACAGTGAGTAACTGTGTGGGGGAGATGCTGAGTGCTGGTTCCAGGGCTGGGGTGGCCTGGGATGGACTTGGTCGGCTGGATCACGGAGCTGAAAATGCCGAGGTAGGTTCAGTTCCCTTAAGAGCTGGACTCAATCCTTGTGGCTTTTCCAGCTCAGAACATCCTGTAATCCTGTGATCCATGTGGTTCTCATCCCATTTCTCTGCTAGCCTTGCAGCCCCCTGCTTCAGGGTCAGCCCCAGGGGTGGAGTGGTCTGGGATGGGCTTGGTTTGTTGGATCTTGGAGTTGAGAATACCAAGGTTGTGTTTGATTTCCTTGAGGTCTGGGCTTGATCCTTGTGGGATTCCTCCAACTTGAAACATCCCGTAATTTGGTGATCCATGTCGTTCTGATGCTGTTTCTCTGCTCGCACTGCAGCACCCCCAGCTCATAGCCATGTTCAGGAGTGGAGTGGTCTGGGATGGGCTTGGTTGGTTGGATCATGGACCTGAGAATGCCAAGGTCACATTGGATTTCCTTAAGAGCTGGACTTGATCCTTGTGGATTTTTTCCAACCCAAAACATCCAATAATCCCATGATCTATGTGATTCTCATCCCATTTCTCTACTGGCTTTGCAGCCCCCCAGCTCATGGCCAGGCTCAGTGGTCTGAGATGGCTCAGTTCATTGGATCTTGGAGTTGAGAATGCCAAGGTCGCGTTTGATTCCCTTAAGAGTTGGATGTGATTTTTGTGGGATTCTTCCAAGTTGGAACATCCCATGATTTGATGATCCATGTGTTTCTGATCCCGTTTCTCTGCTGGCCTTGCAGCCCCCCCCACGGTGCGGATCGTGCACTCGGGCCTGGCCTGCAACATCGAGGAGGAGCGCTACTCCGAGCGCGTCTACACCATCCGCGAGGGAGAGACCCTGGAGCTCACCTGCCTGGTCACAGGCCACCCCCGGCCACAGGTGAGTCCCTGCCCACCACACCTGTCCCCTCCACACCCCCAGACCCTCCACAAGCCGGGTTCACCTTCAGAGTCTGCGCGGTGGGCAAGATCCAATGGGATCCAGGTGGGGGATCCATCCCAGCTGTTGGGTGGATATTGGGTGTTCCAGAGGAACATCAACAGCAGGAATGGTGGTGATTTGTTTTGGAAAATCTGGTGTAAAAATCAGATTTTTGCACCCTAAATTCCTGGGTTTATTCAAGTGTAAATTCCTAAATTTGCACTTTAAATTCCTGGTGTGTTTGATTTCCATGGAGGTTGGTAAAAGAGAGGGAAAACAATTATAAGAGTGCCAATTATTGGAGAGTTTTCTTGGAAAATCTGCTGTAAAAATCAGCAATATTATGCTTTAAATTCCTGGTGTATTTGATTTCCATGGAGGTTGGTAAAAGAGAAGGAAAACAATTCTCAGGGTGACAATTGTTGGGTGAAAATCCCTGAAGTTGTCATGTTGTCTGGGATCTTCACACCCCAGTCCTCAGAAATCCAGCTGGAACTCTGGAAGAGGAACAGCTGGAGCAGGGAACCCAAGAGCTTTTGAAAGTCTCCCTGTTCACCTGGATCAGTGATGTCATGGGACTCCCAGTGTCGCAGCTGGATAAACCAGAATTACCTGGGATTTGTGCTTTAAATTCCTGGTGTGTTTGATTTCCTTAAGAGGTTGGTAAAAGAAAGGGAAAACAATTATAAGGGTGACAATTGTTGGAGAGTTTTCTTGGAAAATCTGGTGTCAGAATCAGCAATATTGTGCTTTAAATTCATGGTGTGTTGGATTTCCATGGAGGTTGGTAAAAGAGAAGGAAAACAATTCTAAGGGTGACAATTGTTGGATGAAAATCCCTGAAGTTGTCATGTTGTCTGGGATCTTCACACTCCAGTCCTCAGAAATCCAGCTGGAGCTCTGGAAGAGGGAACAGCTGGAGCAGGGAACCCAAGAGCTTGGGAAATCTTGTTTGCCTGGATCAGCGATGTCATGGAACCCCCAGTGTTACAGCTGGATAAACCAGAATTACCTGGGAATAAATCAGCTTTTTCCAGGCCTAACCTTATTTTATCAAGCTCAAGATTGTTGGCAACTCCTGCTGCACCTCCCTGGCGTGACCCCCTTGGGCCAGGACACCTCGTTAATCAGTTATTTTTAATTAGGATAATCACCAGGAATTTTCTTTCCAAGGTGATGAATTAAACCCTTTGTTTTTGAAATTGCAAGGAACAGGCAGGAACTGGGAACAGGGAATTCAGAGACCATCAGTGTGAGCTCTTCCAGTAAGGAGGGGATTGCTGTTTCTCTGTTGTTCATTCCATGATTGTTCCCAATTTAAGGGGAAGATTTAAAGCTAAAGTAGTGGAAGTTTATTCTGTGCTGGTTTAGGGAAGGTGTTTCCAGTATTCCAAGTTTTTCCTGATCTTTCCACAGGATGCTCTCAGATTTGGGTTGCAAATTGCATGGAAATTGTTTTCCAGCTGCTGTTTGATCAGATGCTGGGGAATGAGGTTATAAAATATGGAATTGTGCATTCCAAGAATGCTTTCACACTTCCACGTTGACTCAAATTTTCCAATTGCTCTTGTCATGGAAACTCCTTTTGGTTTCAATACTGGAAGAATTAAACAACCCTGGATTGGGAATTTGTAAAATCACAGAATTGTGGAATGGTTTGGGCTGGAAAGGAGATGAAAAATGAACCAGTGCCAACCCCTCCCATGGGCAGGAATATTTTCCACTCCAAGCCTTGAACATTCCCAGGGATTTCTAATCTGTAGGATTTGAGGCTGCCCGTGATGGCTCTGGGAGGAGAAATGAATTAATGAGAAAAAACTCTTTTTTTTTTTTTCCTTTTCTTTCTGTTACTCCTCCTTCCTGCTTTACCAAAGCACACATTTATGCCTTTTTTGTCTTTCTAACATTTGTTCTTTTAACTTTATGATCAATGGATGTCGTTCTTTGGGGTCTGATGACTCAGGGATGTCTCTGATCTGCTCCAAGTCATCCTTGCAGTGATGCCACTCTGGGGGGCCTCCCTTTGAACACAGATCTTCAGATTTATCAAATCTTCCCATTTTTACAGCTCTCTTTGCTGCCTTTCCCACCAAAATTTTTCCCTAGGGTTATTTCCAGGCAGGGAAATTCCTGTGTTCAGAGTGGTGGTTGCACTTTCCAATTGCTGGAAATTTTCTGGAATTTCTCCTCTAAATTTTCATGGAGTCTTCTCAGCATCAGTGAGGTTTTTGGGAGGAATAATAAAGGGATATAAGAATTATCAGAAAGAAGGAGAATTAAAAATAATCACTCTGTTAATCCCAAAAATTCACCTCACTCCTAATTAGCTACAAGACTTTGAGCACCCCAACACATCCTTGAATGTCTGCTTGCTATTCATGGAGTGATTTTGAGATGTTCCATGTGATTAATATTTGTTATTCCCGATTTCCCACCTTCCCACACTCAGCTTTGGAATGCACCATTAGTTGCCATAGAAATAATTTTCCTGGCTGGAATTTTTAAAGCACTTTATCCCCGCTCAGGTGAGGTGAATGCAGCCCTTTTTCCCATAAATTGCAGCTGTCAGGAGAGGTTTGTTTGATTTTTGGATGAAATCCTGCAAAGTTTGGAGGAGGATCACACTGTGGGGACCTGTCCTTTTTCCAGATTTTATCCAGGATCCCGGAGTTGGGCTGTCCCTACTCTCCAGCTCCAGAGGGATGAGCCAGGATATCCAAAGGCCACTTATCCCTGGACAGGAATAAGGGATTTCCTGGACTGAGTAGCTAAGAAGTGACATTTTATCCCCAATGGTGACAATCTCCTGCCCAGCCTTGAGGAATGTGTTTTTTCCTGATTTTTCTTGGAAATTCTCACCCATGCAGGCAGGTTCAGTCATTGGAAACAAAACCTGAGACTTTCCAAAGTGAGGAATGACATTTGGATCATGGGGAGCAGAGGAAGAACCATCCGATGAGCAGAGATTGGCTGGGATTTTGAATTCCTGGTTTTCCACTGAAGGATGAACAGGAAATTCCTGACAGGAGGGGGTGTGTCCAGGCTTTTTTTTCCAGGCTTTTTTCCCAAGTAACAACAGGAACTGGCCTCAAGTTGTTCCAGGGAAGGTTTATATTGGAGATAAGGAAAAATTGAATGGAAAAGATTGCCCTGAGGCAGTGGTGGAGTCACCATCCCTGAAGGGATTTAAAATCCCTGTGGATGTGGCACTTGGGGACATGGATCAGTGGTGGCCTTGGGAATGCTGGGATTCAATCTTGGATGGCTTTTCCAGTCTCAGTGACTCCAGGAGCTTATGAAGGCCTTGTTTGTCAATCCAACCTCCCCCTCCTTGGGCTTTGCTTTCCCCTGGCTGTGATTTTTCCAGAGGTTCACCCCCAAGTGCTGCCTCACCTCGGGTGACGTTATCCCGGTGGGAATGGCACATTCTGTCACATTATCCTGGTGGGAATGGCACATTCCAAGCAGCAAAACGTGCAGAGCTGACAGGGGACAGTGTCCAAGTCCTTCCCCAGTCCCTCCCAGTGCTGCAGGGTGACCTCTGGCCCTCCCACCATGTCCCCCCCTCTCCCAGGTGCTGCCTCCCCACTCTCATTCCGGAGGCTCAGGAAGGAGCAGCTGCCAGTGCCACACGTCATTCCAACCATCTGGAAGCTGCACACTCCGGGATTTTTTTTTCCTGTTTGGAGGTTGCAGCACATCTTAACGAGATCCCACCTCCTCCTCACATCCTCCTGCCACCCTTCTTCCAGGCAGGGCCATCAGAGCACATCCCTTTCTCCCGGAAAAATCCAGGAGTGCTCACGGTGCTGCTGGGGTGTGAAGAATGTGATGGATCCGTGGCTTTCCCGGGAAGCAAAGCAGGGGAGGATCTGCTTTTAGGAGCTCTGGAATTTCTCCCTGCCTCTGTTTGGTTGTGTTTTCTTCCCACTTGTAGGAGTTGGGTGCTGCGCTGATGCCACTGAGGCAGCAGGAGCTGCTCCCCTTGGAGCTGCCAGGAGATCCCGGTGGTTTCCTGGGATTGTGAACCCGGGGCAGAGGCAGGGAAATGCTGCTCCAGAGGGGTGTGAGCTTGGAAAAACACATCCTGCCTGCTGGGAATTGGGGTGGCCAAAGGAGGGGATCCAAGTGACAAAAAGCAGGGAATGGTTGGTTGGATTGGAAGGAGCCTTGAAGCTCATAATTATATATGATTCCATATATATCTATATTTATATTTATATTTATATTTATATTTATATTTATATTTATATTTATATATTTGTATTATATTATATATATATACATATTTATATGTATTATAATATATATATTATAGAATATATATATTATACATGTTATATATATATATATATATATAATATTTATATATATGGAATTCACTGAGTCATGGAATGGATGGGAAGGAACTTAAAGCCCATCCAGTGCCACCCCCTGCCATGGACAGAGACACCTCCCACTGTCCCAGGCTGCTCCAAATTGGCCTTGGACATTTCCACGGATCCAGGGGCAGCCACAGCTGCTCTGGCAATTCCATCCCAGCCCTTCACCTCCTTCTCAGCCAGGAATTCCTTCCCAATATTCCCTGTCAGTTTATAGCCATTATCCTGTCATTCATAATCTCCTTGGGAAGCACTGAGCTCTCCCCATGAACAGACCTAGGTAACTGTGGCACTAAAAAATAAAAACCCCTTAATTATTTCAAATGCATCCCCCTAATTACTCCCCGTGATTAGTGGAGCCTCCTCTGACACTGCAGAACAGGACCCTGCCTTTTCCTAATTAATGCCTGGAAAGGAAAAATTCCCACTCCCTGGAACTGCATCCATTAGGCCAGAAAAGGCAGCATTCCCAAAAAACCCCCAACAAAAACCCCACATTCTGTTCTCTGTGATCAGCTTTGAGTCAGACATAAAAGGCTCTTTTGGGGCAGAGTGGACGCCATGTTTTTGGTTTTA